GCTCCCTCTGTCGAGCATGCCCAGTATCCCCTGTGGGCTCCAGGGTGGAGACAGGCTCCCTTTCTGGTTCCCAGGAGCCCTTTCCCATTTACTGTCTCCCCTTTCCTCCCTGGCAATTTTTTTGGGGGTAATTCTCAACCCCTGGCGGTTTCTGAGAAGCACAAGCACAGACACGCCAAGGTTCAAACCTGGCCCTGTAGGTGGGAGGCTGGAGGGCTCTGAGGAAATGGGTTGGGGGGTGCATTATATAGCTGCCAACTTCCTCCCACAATTCTCTTAGTTCCTCTCAGGCAGTTTTGCATGTGGTTGTATGTGACTAATTGATCACATAGAATCTCCAAACCCAAGACCACCACCCTCCCACCCAGGGGAGGCTGCACCCTTCACTGTGGGCCAGCTTCCAAGCCTTCCCACTGGGGCACTTGCCTGGTTTGGAGGCCCATGTGCAGGGTGGGACAGGAAGCAGGGTCTCTGTGGACACGTACCCTCAAGGCGATGCCCCACCCTGGCTGGCTTTTTTCTGGGAAAGGCAGAGGCCCCTCCTGCCCACCCGGTGGGGGTGTGATCGGTGCCCCTGTTGGCAGCACCTCCAGGCCACCTGTGATGGGAAGTGCCTGTCCTGGCCACAGGCAGGGAAACCGCTGGGCGGATGGGGTTGGGACCTGCAAGGGGGAAGTTGGGCATTTGGGTTTCGTTCCTCCAGAGCAGTGATTTTTCAACCCTTTTCATCTCCCGCACACATAAACTAATTTCTAAAATTCTACAGCACACCAAAAAATATATATTTTGCTAATCTGACCCCCAAAAAGGTATAATTTCGATCCATTCACACTGGAAGGCTATTGTGCTGGCTGTTGTCATTTTTTTAAAATTTGATTTTGAGAAAGAGAAACATCGATTTGTTGTTACACTTATTCATGCATTCATTAGTTAATTTTTTAAAAATATATTTTTATTGATTTCAGAGAGGAAGGAAGAGGAGAGATAGAAACATCAATGTAGAGAATTGTTGATCAGTTGCCTCCTGCACATCCCACACTGGGGATCAGTCCCACAACCCAGGCATGTGCCCAGGAATCGAAGTGTGACCTCCTGGTTCACAGGTTATCTCAACCACTGAGCCACACTGGCTGTGCCATTGCTTGGTTCTTGTATGTGCCCTGACCAGGGATCACAGCCACAACCTTGGCTTATCAGGATGCTCTACGCAACTGAGCTATGCAGCCAGGGCTTGTCATTTTTTTATTTGACAATCTAAGGGAAAAGAGGTCAGTGCCAAAAAGAAAATGAAGAAAAATAAAGCAAAATAAATAAAAATAAAAAAAGAGGTCAATGCCCCTGACTAAATGGTCAGGGACTGCATGTTTTAAAAATTCTTGCGCACACTGTTAAGTCGCTGCTCTGGAGTTCCGGGGCTTGGCGTCCTCTGCCTTAGAGCATGGTTCCAAGGCCCATGCCACTAGGAGCCCAGGGAGGGTGTCTGCAATCCACGGCGGGCAAGGACAGTGGCTCTGCCACCTGGGACAGGTACTGCACCCTGCGTGCCTTGGCTGTCCCCCACGTGTAAGGCGGAGTGGCCGCCTCGCAGAGCTCTGGGGTTAAACGAGGGGATTGGTCTCTG